AGATGGAGATGAGGCTGAGCTGGAATGGAACAGGGTGGTCACTACTGGTGGACACTACCCAGCTGGTGGCACCGAGTGGAGGCCAGCAGTTGTTTGAAAGATCAGATTCCCCATAGCTGTTTAAGAAGCTACTAGTAAGGCGGCTGCAGAGGATGAGTGGAATGGCTTCGATTCTGAGCGGTGGGGGAGATAACGTATTTTCACCTGGTGCATTTCGGTCATGATGATGACACCCCCCCCCCCCGTGTATTTTCTTGCAGGGAATGGAATCTGTAATTGCGGGAACTGTGAGTGCTGGGACGGGTGGAACGGAAATGCATGCGAAATATGGCTTGGCACGGAGTATCCTTAACAAGTACACGGGAGACGACTGGAGTCTTACTTTTCTAGGCCATTAGAACAATGTAAATGCGAAGGAAACCATGTATAATCACCACTAGGACAGGTCAAACAGACGATTGTTATGTTTTTCTATTTCTGAATGCCTGCATGAAGTCTGGGTACCTATTAAAAAATGAGTTAAGCAATGTCTGATGTAGATGATGCCAGAAAGAAATTCTCTTCCAGAATTTACATCAGTGGTTCTCAACAAGGGTGACTGTGCCACCTGGAAAACACTTGGCAACATCTACAGACAATTTCAGTTGTCACACTGGGTGGGGTGGGAGGCCATGGAACAGGCCTTGAGTGGGTAGAGGCCAGAGAGGCTGCTAACCCTCCTCGAGGGCACAGGACGGCCCCGCAACAAGAAGTTAGCAGACTCCAAGCATCGATAGTGCCGGAGCTGAGAAACGTTGAGTTCCATGGCCGGTAGACATGCATATCCCTCACAAAAAGTCCACATGAGAATCTCAGGAAATACCCTCACATAAACCCATCAGTCATATTTTTTTCAGGATTCCCTGTCACTCAGCGTTTCCGTGTGGGGACAATAAAGACAAACAAACATAAGGGACAACGACCGGGGTTGGGGGGGGATGGGGGTGGGGTAGGAGGGAGGCAAGGGGAGGTGGGGCGGGTTGGCGGCGGGCAGAGGGCAGATCATTAGTGCTTTTCAAAGAAAAAGACTGGTCAGTTTTAGCCAGTAAGTCATTCATCTGGTCTCACTTTAAACTCACAAAAGAAGATTCTCTCAGGAAGGAGGTATGAAAAGTATAGAATTTGACATTTTTAATAGCTAGCGATGTAAGTTGCTTACAATCTGTGTCGATATATATTTGCCTACTGCTGATAAACAACAACACAAAACGAATGGGTATTTAGGGCACCTTCTGTTCCTAGATCCCTTTTTAAACTGGGCAGGGGTAGGTGTACAAGGACTCTGATTTTTCACTATTTAAATTATTCCGTGGTAACTTGCCTTTTAAAAAGATAATATCTAATTGGGCCTAGGATAGGCTTAGAATATGCATTTGTTTCCCTTGAAAAACTCTTATATCTAAGGACACATTATTTACTGCAATAGTAGGGTCATGCAGAGAAGTCAGGAAGAGATACTGTGATCAAATGATACCAGTCTCAAAGCTCAAAGGATAAAAAAAATCTAGAAATGTCTTAAGTAGAAATTACAAATATTCACTCAGCAATAGGAACAAAATGTTTATTTTCTTAATGGTGAAATTTTGCTCTGTATGAAATTCACATTGAATTATGAAAATGTACAATAATTAGGACTTCCCTTACATATTTACAGTTAAATCTACTTACACACATTAGTTTAGGCAACTTTAATTATTTGGAGCTAAAAAAACCCCACTTTTTTTTCTAAATGTGAATTATATTTTGTAAAATTCTATAATAATGTAACAAAACCATTTTTCCACATTAAGATGAAAATTTTTACTTGGAAATTTTACTTAATGATGTAAATATTCTAGAGTCATGGCTTGGACTTTGTAAGTCAAGTCACCAAAAATAAGGAAAATGTGCATTTGCCAAGTTACTTAAAAATTTAATATTGAAAGTTATTTAAGAGAAAGTTTATCTGATGCCGACTTTTGTAGTACTGATAGTGTTCTCATACTTTAATAGAGTTATAAAATTGTTATCTCTATCCTGAGATTATGGAGTGCAACCACATTAGTTGTATCTCTATTGTTGAGTATGTCCGTTGATATATCGGTTTTGTAAAATGAGGGAAATAGAAGCAGTTGAGAAATAATACAGAGTATATTCTTTCCTCCTCTCTATTTAATAATTTTAAGCCTCAAACAAACCTTTGTAATTGTTCAGTCACATTTTTGATGACTCGATGATGTACCATCATCCAAATTCCCTTCATTATCTCGCCATCATAACACAAACCACCTTTGACTTCCCCTCCTGCAGAACTATAAAGGACCAGAGTAAATATTTTAGACCTTGTGGGCCACACAGTCTATGAAGAAATTGGATTTCTTCTCTGTTTGTTTGTTTTTAATATTTTAAAACTATAAAAGGGAAAACAGAAAGCAAACTCATTTGGAGCTCATGGACATTTTTACAAAAACAGACTTGCTCAATTTGGCTCCCAGCCAAGCAGCATTTTGCCAACCTGAGCTCCCCTGAAGACACCCTTAATTTGCTTTGTCTTATCCTGCAATCCCAAGTGCGCCTTATTTTTCTTGAGGTTCTCTACGTTTTTTTATTCCTTTTGTTAACAACAACAACGAAAGGGCTTCTCTTTTTATGTTTTCATAGAAGAAAGGCATCCTCAGCATTTAGGTATTTTACAAAAGAAGTTTTGAGTTGGAGAAATTATTATACTAGAAAGCTCGAAATGTGATTTGTTCAAATTTTTTGACAGGGCTGAAAATGTATGACAGCTATCTTCTGGGTTCACTTAGCTACAAATTATTGAATGGAAACTGAGTTACAGCGTAAGTCACTTGGTACCTAATCACTAATGAATATTTTTCTTTTAAAACAGAAATAGTTTCTTTTTATTTCTTTCTGTCTGCTATAATATTTCGTATGCGTGTATATGATTTTGACTCTAGCAATGCAATCATCAATAAACCTATTAAGAAGTTATTTCATTTACATGTTTAAGCTGGAAAAAAATAAAATATAGTTACATGTAAAGACGTAAATCCTACCCGTCTTTGATGTGATTTTGTATTTTGACTTTTAATTCCATTACTACGTTAAAAAAAACTCCTTCCTTCAAAAAAAGGCAGGGCAGGAGGAAACTTGTAATAGGAGAAGGGTGAACGTGTGGAGCTCGTTGGCTTGTTCGAATTCATGTGAAGATTAAAGTGAGTTGGGAAGGAGGAGACACATTTGCAGCTGGTGTTGGCACTCACCCTGCTTGTTGGCAAACCATTACTGAGGAATTCTTCCACAAGGACTTTTCAATAAAATTCAACTAACGTCCTAAGACCCAAGAGGATAATAATTATACCCCATTTTCTCCCTGGACCCCTGAGCTAACCTAGATTCCTGCAGCACCTTGAAAGGAATGGCCTCCGCCACTTCAAAAGCAAACACAGTCTCTGCCAGCAAACATCAAGGTCAGACCAAATGAGAGAAAACTGAGAAAAAATTAAAAACAAATCGCAACTCAGCCTTTGTTTACAAGGCTCACTACCAAAACTCGGAAGCCCTACTCAGTGTCCAAGAGTCAACAGGCCTTGTGTGCCCCCTCGTAATCTAAGAAACTTCAGCTAGAAAATGTGTTTTACTCCAAAGTAACACAGTTTGTGTCTGGATGTTGACATGTCTGCATTTAGCCAATTGCTTTCCCTGGAAATAGTCTTCTTCTGAAACACAATTGAAAATAGGTTTTGGTTATTTTATTTCCTTCTAAAACAGATTTCTTAGTCAATCTGATCTCTCCTTCAAACATTCATTCTCCCTGTAACGTTAGAAATAAGACCTTAAATGAAGTGCTACATGTCTAACTTCAGCAACAAGAAGTTTTTGTTGTTCTGTTTTCTGAAAGAAAACCAAATCTAACATTGTTCAACTCGAAAACCTCTGTTTTAGTGGCTTACGCCTTAATTGAGCAACTGGTCAGGTGTTTTAAAAATACTCACTCTGCTTACCCTCCAAGAGGTAAACAATCAGGCCTGCAGCAAGAGTGTCATCGGCCCACTGTGGAGCTCCTAAAACCTCTTCCTATCCCCAAACACTCAGGGCAGGCAAACGTTTAGGGCAAAAATTTCTAAATTCTGCAGGATTTGCAATGAAATGTTGCTCAGTACCATTTTACTCTTTACATAGGATGCACCATCTGCTCCTCTTCTACAATTTTTTCCAAGTAAAGTGGGAGCCGAACATTTTAGAAAGCAAACTCAAAAGAAAATAAAAGTGGTGTCCCCTGGAAAATCAAAACAACGAACATTCCCGAGCATTGAGGAGGGATGGGTGAAGCAATCAGCTACCGTAACAGATCCGTAGAAATAATCCTCCCCTACCAGATATGCATGCAAAAGGAATGTGACATTAGAGAGACTCGATGCAATTGACATATGTACATGGAGGTACAAAACACACGGTCTGTGATACAAATGAATTCCATCAGATTTACTATACAGAACATCAATGATGACAGATTGCACTTGCTTAATAACAGCAAACTTAATTTTTGAGGGGAAAAATGGTGGCATCTTATCCCAGAAAAATAGCAAGAGAGGTATCATCAAAGAGCTAAAATTTTCTTTGGCATGGTAAAGGGGGACATTGAGTGTACCAACTTATTTACATGACATTTCTCTATATTTGTGGGTGAAGCAATGCCATTTTGTTACATAAAGTTGTTTGATGTTTTGTAATATGCCTTCATATCAATATTTTATTCAGTATGTTGTATTTGTGAATACAACAAATGGTATTAAACACAGAAACTATACAATGCAGACAGACTCTTTGCATGTAAATTGAATAGTACATACCAACAGTTCTTGATACACAGGTCCTACTACATGCATTTCATCGGTGCTGTCCTCGTCCCATGCAACAGGTAAGACCAGACACAAAGGAAACCATCTAATTTACAAATAACAAGGACCCGTCAGCAATATGTCTAAACATGTATTAGAAGAAAGTATTTGACATCCATTCATAGGGATAAATGCCCTTGGAGACAACTCATATAAAAAAACAAAACAGAGGTGCACATTGACATAAATCTCAGTCATTTACAAAAATAAATCTTGTCTTAATTTTAACCAATAAACAGGCTTGCGGGGGTGGGGGATGGGGGAAACAGCATATAGGGCTGATTACCAGAAAAAAATAGGTGGGGTTGTTTGGTGTGTGTGCATGTGTGTGTGCGCGTGCGCGTTGGGGCAAGCAGTGTCTTGAAGCCCATCTAATTGGAATGTCAAATTAAATAATTCGGTTTGCCACAGATTATAGAATACATGTCTTCCCTAATAACTGGCTTGTGAAATTCATCTAATGGATTTTAACTCATCCTGTTGAAAATGATAAGCTTTAAAATGGTGTCACAAGAAACAAAAATGGTTGAAGGAATCATTTTGTTGTATTCGTACTTTAGCATTATTGACAATAAATCTACTCAAACGTATGCTAACTTTTTATTTATTAAAATGAAATCCAATATGAAAATGAAGTAAGCATAAACAGTTAAATTTATACTAAATCTTTAATCAGCTAAGCAGGCCAAAATTTTTTAAATGCCGGGCAAGGACTGTCATGGAGACTTAGGAACGCAGTGGCAAAATAATTTCCCAGGAAATACAGTGCAGATGAGGGAAGGAGAAGGGGCGGGGAGGGGGGGCATGGCGACTGGGTCAGCCTTCCACGTGGAAATAATCGTAAGAGGCCAATACATGATCCCGCGTATAGTTTTCTATAAATGAGGTTCAGTTTGGTCTCAGTTAACTCTTCTGAGTAGGAAACATTGAATTTTATTAAGTATACACAGAGTTAACAAATATATTTCCAAACAGTTTCGTATTCCACATTTCGAAACACTTTACATCCCATAGCGGACGTTTTGCATGGTTTCTTCCCTGTGCCCTCAACGACTCGTGGTCTTTCTTAGCAGTTGTCTTCCCTAAGCTCAGACTTAGGCATAAGGAAATTAAGAAAGCAAAAGAAAACAAAAGCAAATCAATGGAGTGGACCCAAAACCTGATGTTTGAGCGTGTTGGTCTGCCTTGAATTTTATCCAGAAGAATTCAACAGACTGCATTCTGAGCTCATGGCAAGGCACCTCACCCCAGCCACTGGGCAACCGGGGCCCCGAGAAGCTGAGTGACAGGAATGGAGTGGTGAGATACACAGTACCGAGACTCAGCATGCTGAGCTAAAAAAAATAGTTTTTCCTAATATGTCCAGTTTAAAAACTTGTCATTAAACACCAAAAATATTAAAGTCTAATTTATAACTAACGTTTGCATTGCTGCTGCAGAAAAGAACACAACAGCCGTCTTGCCCATGCTCTGCTGAGTGTGAGTGGGACGCAGCCAAAACCGGGGAGGGCATTCAGTTCGGTTCATTAAAAACAGGTAGGATTATACGGGAAATGGATTTAGGTAGCGCAATTCTTGTAGGTTGTAATTATTGAATTTTCTTTTTTTTTTTTTTCCTTTTTTCCCAAATAATGAGGATCAGTAGATGAAAAATGAACCTTAATCAGGCCTACAAGGCCTACAGAGTTCTTTGGACCCACTTTCTCAAAAACCAGTGGGTCTTGCTCGCTGGGCAAGGCAAATGTTACCATTACCAGTAAGCTTGTGATATGTATAAAACACACACACACACAAAGAAACTATGGGGGGATGTCAAACACGTATCGTAGAGAGCGTCCCCCCGGACTGTGTTTGACCCATTTCTCACCCCGGTAGCGCCGACCTCAGGAGCCCAGTCTCCGCTACTGGATAGAGCATCTAAGTGTGTTTAATCGATAGTGGGAGCCGGAGACAACACTCTTAATCTTTATAGGTGCAATTTGTAATGACAGGTTTAGGAGGCTTCCCGATTCCCTGATCGCTCTCCAAACTAGGCCAAGGGCCACACTGAAGGTTTAGAGGAATACAGTCCCTGCGAAAGGTCACGGACAGTAGAGCGAGCAGCCCTAGAAAAACGGGGAGAAGAGAAATCCATAATAGCACGGGTTTACAGCGTCTAACTAGAAATTACTCAGTAGTATTCGTGTGCTACAAAATCGAACTTAAACACATGGATGTCGCTGAAACAGGACTCAAAAAGGATTATGGGTAGCTGTCAGCAGGCAAGGTGTCGAGTGTACTTGTGAAGTATGTCATTCTCATGAACCGTCACAGTCACAGAAAAGAGATTAAAAAGGCATTCCGTATCTGGTAGGGCATTCCATGGTCTGAGTTTAGCTGGTTATCCAGGTGTCTTTTGTTCTGGGGACGCCACAGGTGGAGGTTTATCCGCTTGCAACCAAGAAGTTCGGGACGGCCGAGAGCGGGCCTCGGCTTCCTTGCGGCCGCTGCCCGGCCACCGGCGCAGGAATGTCTGGCAAAGGATAAACCGCTCCACCGTGCTCGCGGCGGGTCAGTCACAACACCTGTGAGGATCTGGCTATGTCGTCTTACTTTTGTTGACTGGTTTGCCGCCATTCATTATTGCCGACGCGCTTGTGCTTTTACTGGGCGTCACCCCGGCCTTCGGGACCGTTTCGCCGACGTCATGCAAAGATGGTTCTCGGTACATGGCCACTGGGGGCGGGCGGGAGGGCGTGGGGGACGGAGGGAAGGAGACAGGACCTGGTTAGGTTCAAGCATGGCCAGTCCCTTCGCGCCTGGAGTCAAGCCACCCCGCACGGCAGAGGGAGTCGCTGTGTTGGAGCCGTCACTTCCCGCCCCCCCACCGCGACAGAGCTGAGATACGGACATGGGTGCCTGTGGGGTGTTGTCTAGGGCAGGACGTGTAAATAGGAGCTATGGCCTTTTTGTGGGCCTCAGCTATAAAGTGCACACAGGCATACACACACACACACACAATTGGGGGGGGGGCGGCAGGCGAGCCCTTAACCTAGTTCTCTTTGCACAGCCAGGAAAACTCAGACTTCCCTTCCAGGGCACACCGATGTCAACCCCTGAGCCCCTCGTTCCCATGCATGTTTTCGAGGCCAGGTAGGTACCCCCTACATCATGACAGTATTTTTCTCTCAAAAGCAACACAGTCACACTAGTGTCAACTTCAAAGCTACCCCAGGCAACGACCAGGAGCTCACTTCCCTGAAGCCAGGGCCTTCTGGGGATCAGTCTTGAGATCTCCTCTCCCTCCGTCTCGGAAACTGAAGGCACGGGCGGGGCATTTTGTGTTTTTATGCCTCGTTCCCTGATAGCGTGTTAAAAATGAGGCCGGAGCCGAGAATGGCAAGACGGGAGGTGGGAGCGAGGCGCGAGTGAGCCCCGAGGAGCTGGGGGCATCCGGTGGTGCAGCTAATCACCGCCGCGGATCCGGCTGTTTGGAAACTGACTCTAGGGGATCCTGTGCGAGGACGTGTAAGGCTGACTTGGGGGAAATCAGCAGAGTTAGAATCGTCTGCCGTCATAAACACTAGTGAGTTAGAGCCGTCTAGCCCACTTTTTAGGCTTTGCAGAGTGTTTTGTTTATAGGCTATGTTAAGAAGAGACTCTCCGTCTCTTTACGGTCAGGTGGGTGGACTGTCAGGCACCGTCCACACTCGGTGTGGCAGGAACACAGAGCTCCCGTCCACACCCCATGTGGATTCTCACATGGCTTTGAAAGCTCATGTGTCCACCAGACCTGTGTGAGAGGGGTCAGCAAGGTACTAGAAGGGACTACTCTTGGTCTTTGAAGCGCTTCCCAATCTCTCACTCCCACTCCTGATTCAATTAGGAGACAATAGCGTCAGAGCATTAACCTTGACTGTCCACATGGTGAAGCCGTGTGATGAATGCCCCAGAGCATCAATAATTACTCAAGTACCTAATTTGCCCTAATGTTTCCAATCATATAATTTACATCCTGTAGGGGTTTTGAAGGTTTGAAATTAATCTTCCTCTATAAATTACACTATGTGATAACCTCCATCATGATAATACCCTCTTAGTTGTTTCTAGGGGACTTCTGTCTGCTAATTATTTGAAAATACTGTTTCTCTTTGCCTCAGAAATCCACGAATGCACAACGCACACATACACACAACTCTTCAGTGTGTGATTCAAATGCCAAGTGATACTATTACACCACATCTCAGTTTTAGATATTTCCTCCTAGGCAGACAAAAACAGCTGGTCTCCAGCTTTGGCCTCAGTTAGGGGACATCAAGCCTCTTGGTTTTCATTACGTTTATGCAGCTAGATGATAAGGTTTTAGAATCGAGTTCGTTCATATCTCTTTATATTCAAAACAAAGGTTAACATAAAGAGACAGAGCAATATGGCAAATAAACAAGATTTGTGGACATAGTTTTCAAATGTTTCACTTGCATTTGAATATTGGTGGGTCTGATGGTCTCAGTTCATTTAAAACAGGAAGGCCAAATCACAGAGGTGTTACTTTGGAAGGACAGCAAAACCCTCTCATTTCTTATTTCTACTTTGTCTGGTGATCTATCATATAATGAGAATAATTCACTCATATTTCAGACTCTGGCATGATTTTTCTTATCCAGGATAGGCCCCTATGGCTTACTGTCTAGGCTTCAATGGCTTGTTCTGTAGGCAAATCTAGTTAAGGGGATAGTAAGTCATCATTGTTGAAATTATAAAGATGGTTTAACCAACAAGAATGGTTTTCCAAACATAGGCAAACTGAAAGCTGAATTATACATCCACAAATAATTAATAATGAACCTTTAATATTTGGAATTATCTTATTCCTATCTAGAGAAGATGGATTCCTATATAGAGAAAATCAATATACATTTTCTCTTGATGGCTAAACCTTTCTTCTAGGAACAAAAAAACAAAAAGAAAATCAAACTAAGTTAGATGAAAGTGTTTAAATAGTTTTCGTAGATCTGCTTTTCTGCCAAAGGTAAACAAAAGTATTTGACTAGACAACATTTTTGAAATGTCTCATGTTTAATTTTTTTTTCTAGTTCTCAAATATTAAGGACAAGGTAAATGGCACTCCTGGCAGAATCCTTAATGAGAAAGGTGCAGAGGTTTCTGATTAATTAGCAATGCTTTATAGCCTGCTCTCTGAAAGTCTGATAAAAGTGAATGCGAAGGCGTCATTGTTTACGAGTGACTATAAAAGAAGGAGGTGCCACACCCAGGTTTACTCTGAAAGGGACCGGTGACACCAGCAAGCTCTTTAAAGGCCAGGAGATTAGCTCATTTTCTGTAATTACAGTAATTCACAAGGATGTGATGACTTTCAGCTGGATACCATCAAAATGGGCGAATACTTGCATTCCATAATTTTTGAAACTTAGCTATATATGGATATATGGGATATATTTTTTATATATTTGTCAATCTGTGTATATGTGTATGTATGATATGTCTATAAAATATATAAACACACACATATGCACAGTAAAGTGTACAAATCTTAAATTCATCCCTTAAGTAGACATCTGTGTGGCCACCACTCAGATCAAGGTATGGAAAATTTCCAGCATTCCATGAGGCTTACTTGTGGCCAGTGTAGAGTTAGCAATGGGAAAAATAAATGTGTCACAGACTGAGAGGGATAATGTTCACCTAACACTCACCTTCCAATGGCTTGGGTAGAAAATGAGCTGCTGGTTTGGTTTTCTTTACTCTGTTTCCTTTCATGACTTGCCCTTCTTTATTCAATCCCAAAAACCAGGCTCTACCAGATTCCTGTTGTCTGTACAGCATAGATGAGTAAATTACATAATAGTTTTCAAAAACAGATTCTTTAAACTTGCATTCAGGCGTAAAAAGTTCCTGTGGAGAGAAGAGGAAGAAACGACAGTTAGAGAAAACAATGGGAGTTTCTCTGAACTTTTTCTTCTTCCCTCCAGAAACCTGTCCACCAGGCTGAAGGAGTCAGCCCTGGGGCAGGGATGACTGGCCGCACCTGGTCCTGCATGGGTGTTTGTCCGTGTACTTTTTTCAATATACAATGAACAGAGAAGGATCTGCTGCTCCTGGGGGCACATGCATTGGCGAGAGTACGCGTGTCCTTTCGTAGGAAACTAGGAGACATGCGCAGAAAGAACCGTCTGGTTGACACGATACTGTTCAACCAGAGTATAACCAGAAAAAGCACATTAAAATAGCATCATATAGTCACCGTAGGCTAAACAAAAATAATTTATGATATTTGATCACCTATTTGCGATATTTCCAAAGGAATATGTTAACCTGATAGTCGCTAGCCGTGCCCTGGATCACTGATATGACAGGGGGAGAGGTTTTACCTACAAAGACACAATCCGAAACTTCACACTAAAACCGGGAGGTCGGCTGGCTCGCTAACCAGCCACCAGAGCGGAGGCTGGATGTTGCGTCGGTCGGCCGGCCGCAGGGACAGGAGCTGGAAATAATGACCTCATTCCATGCTCCGGAGCCCCACTGGAATTCTGGCAGGGAAACGTCAGCAGCTGCCCTGACCGCCGTCCCCCGGCGTTTCGGGAAAGGGTAACATGAATTAAGTGCCGTGACTCTCGGTGCTACAGTCCCCACTGGTGGACAGCACAAAGCTTACTACACCTTATGAGTATCATTAATGACATAAATATTCAAGAGCGACTTCACACACTTCTAAACCTTAGCTGACAATTTAAGGGGCTCCTGGGTGGCTCAGTTGGCTAAGCCTCCCCCTTTGGCTCAGGTCAAGATCCCCGGGTCCTGCAACCCAGTCCTGCATCAGAGTCCTGGCTCAGCGGGGAGCCTGCTTCTCCCTCTGCCTGCTCTGCCTGCAGTTCCCCTTGCTTGTGCTTTCTCTCTCTCTGATAAATAGTCTTTTAAAAAATAATAATAATTTAAAAATTCAATCTTCCTAGTTATAGACACAGAAGCCACTTAAATTGTTTTTGTGGTCATTTTAAATAGTTCAACACTGTGCTATTTTATATATATGAAATATAAATGCAAAAACAGAGCTTTCTTGTCACTGATCTTTTAAAAAATATCACTGTGCTTGAAAAAAAATTCACCTTAATAGAGTTTTATGACTACAGAAAATAACTTGCTTTTCTTTTCTTTTCAAACATTATTTTCTGTACACACTCTGAAAAACACATCCTTTAGGCACTAAAAATAAAACTTGTCAGAGTTAAGGTTATGCTAACCATAATAAGGAATGTGACATTATTGCGTGTAGAAAGGTTCTTTCAATATTTCCCATGAGGGTGTGAATTATCAAATGGTGTCTCTTGCAGGATACAATTTATTGAGTGCCATATTACTTTAATTCACTGAAAGCTAATAGTTTTCCAAGAGGAACAGGTTTTGTTAATGGCAAACTCTTTTCATGACGAAGATAACAGATCCAGTGATTAATTCAATGAGATTAAAAGTAGCCAAAAGATGGGCTTAGACTCTCCCAAAGGAATTTATGTAGGCCTTCATTTCTTCTAGATGATGCTAGCTCAGGTTTGAATGAGATCCCATCTAAATAAATGTTCTGGCTTTCCACTAAATCCTATTTTTCCAAATATCACCCCATTACTTCTCCTGCTAATAAACAACAGACTCGGGGAGTTAATCAGGCCAGGCTGCAGAAGGAAGACTGACAAAGGGGTGTGTGTTCACACGTCGTGATGAGGGAAATAAAGCGGAATGCTGTAAAGCTAGCTGGCTTGTTCTCAAAAGACTAATAAATACAACATATTGTTTCAATGTGCACCTTCCATGACAAATTAGACTTCCTTGTGTCACTTGTCTTTTATCAATGGCAGGCCAAGGCATCCAAGTAAATTATTTGAGACCAGTTAAAGCTCATCTCAAAACCAGTTGGGAGTGGAGTGGAGAAAAGCTGACCCGTTGAGCCACACCATTGACTGACTTTTACCTGGAGACACCAGGCCTCCAGCTAGAAAAGCAGTTCCACACAGAAGTCAAACCTTACTCCCATCTGGTCCCCACTGCCTTGATGCAGGATGATGGCACTACCATCGGCAAATGAGATATGCACAGTCTTTTCTCCAAGGTGCACATGAAAGAAAATGAAGAACCTTGATGGGGAAAAAGTCCTTTGTACTCAGAGTATACCTTAAGGACATCTGACATTAAGTCTTTTTGGATGAAATGCTTGTCTCTGGGGTTTCTGAGGAAGTCATTCCACATTCTTCTTCTGGGAGCTGGGCCAGCAACTTCACAGATATATGGACAGGAAGGCAGATTAGAGAAATGTGATAGGGTCTTGGGCACCCTGATAATTACATAGACTTCTTATGAGCAAGAGGTAGATATGCAGACATCCCTTCTTGAGTAAGCAAGGGAATAATGACACAGCCCGGTTAGTATTTTACGGATATACATGTATTGTCAATGCAGAGAATGTTTCTGAGACAATAGTAACACTTATACACTGACATGTTGAAGCCCAGCCTCTTGCAAAATAAATTGTGCAACATGTGTATATTTGTGTTCACTTTCATAACTACTATTAATATAATTATCAAATAAGGAGAGAAATATCACCAGAATTACGATGCATTGTTAAACTGAGTTATGAACCTTCTGGTATCCCAGATGGAAACAGAAAGTCTGTATGTTCTAAAAATTCGGAAGAGAGAAAATCTTTTCTTTTTCTTGGGACTGACTTCTAAAAGGTATTTCCTTGTGGGGAAAATGTGGCATTGAGCAAATGAACAAAATATAACACATAAACATACCTGCTCTTGGTAATAACCATACAGTCAACCCAGTCACAGTTTCGTGTCCGAGTCCCACAATATGCTTTAGGGGACAGATGGTGTAAGAAGTCCCACAGGTGGGCACTGTCACTGATGAGGTCCCTAGGGGACATGTGCCCAGCAGGGGTCACAAACTCAATGCCTCTCCTGACCAGGTGGGCTCAAGAGTGAAGGGGGCTGCTGTGATCAAGACACCATCAGGAGGCTACGTGCGCCCCCTACTCTCGGGCTCAGTGTTGAAGAGACAGGAGGGTAGAAAAGAAAAACCTCTGATCTTCAGTTAAGTCTGGTTTTCCAAAGGAAAAAAGAAAATCGGGTTTCTAAAATTTCCTTTTCCTGGTGGCAGCTATGTCTTAGTTCTTGTTTTTGTTTTTCGACAGCATATAGACCACAGGTCGGAGACGGGGCCCACGAGCCTGCAGTGTGAGACAACCCCCCCCCCCGCCATGTAGAGGAGCCAAAGTGCTGAAGAAAGAAGGAACCCCAGTTGGCTTAGCATCGCAGCCCTAACCGACCGTATGGCTCCGATATCTTTGTGTAATCCGATGAGAGCGCCAGCGAGATTCTCTAAAACCAGCCGTGATAATATGAGAACGCTTATTTAAATTTCAGCTTAAATATAAACTCTCAGAAACTGCCGAAACGAAGCAGAGATGGAGTTTGAAGTGTCTTTTCCTCGTCTGGCCTGCCTACGTGCAGAGCCCCCGACACCACAACAGAATCGACGACAGCTGAGTCCCAGCAGAAGCCTCGATATTAATTTGTACCACTGCCAGACACAATCATCCACTCAAGGACAGAAAAACAGAACAATCAGACAAAAATTTCATATCTCCTTCTTTGTGGTTGTGGGGAACTGAAAGCATCATCCGTGTTGTACTTATTATCTTAACAGCAGGGGCAGAATTCCTCTCCTGAGGCTTCTGGGTTCAGCATGAAAGAAGAGGGTGGAGGGGAGGGAAGACCCATGTTCCATAACCCATAGCTACGAATAGCCAATAATTCAGGATAACCATAACCCAAGAACTAGAAGTGACTGTGAGGGTCTAAGTCCAGCACACAACGGACAAAGGGCCAGACACAGCTGCCCACCCTCACACTCCAAAGTTCAGGGGTGAATTCTCGAGACAGAGCTCGTATGGCCTGCAAAGTCTACAATGTTCGCTCTGTGGTGATTTGCCAAAACATTTTGCCAACTCTGCTCTCAGGTACATTTTGAGGACGTCCCAACCGAGACAGATGGGGAGGGGGTGTTCATCTCATTTCAAATTACTGAAGAGCTATGTATTCCCAAAGTGAACTTGGATTGCACTTATTTTCATGTGTACAAATGTAAACCATTTAAGTGGGAATTTTCATGACTTTCGTCCCTGGAAAAGCCCAAAAGGTGTGTTACGCACTCGGGTTTCTGGTAAAGATACGCAAGTAGTAGCCTGCAAATTCCTTTCGTCCCAGCATCATCTAGGACTAAATGAAAATTTACGTTTTGGTTAATATCTGCAAGTCTGCCTACCAATGGCACCACCACCTCCATTATTTCTGCAAGTTTGCCTACCAATGGCACCACCACTTCCATTATTTCCAAAGGAAAATATAAAAATTAGGCATTCCAGATAAATTTACAGCATTTATTAGAATACAGGGCAAATCTCCAATGGATTAAAAAGACAGGGTAGAGAAATATTTGACATGTACTAGCATGTAGCCCAATAAGTAATTGTTATTAATAAAAAGTAAATAAATAAATAATAAATAAATAAAATAAATTAAAAAAATAAATAAAAATAAAATAAAAGTAATAAATGCACAATAAGTAATTGCTGTTAACATTCTATTAACCTCTATATTTCAGAGTCATCAAAAGCTCAGTCCCCTCCCATCAATATCTCAGTAATGACCCTGACCCTGAACTTTGGAGTTCAGTTCCCCAAGCTGAGAGAAGGAGGGAGCCTCAGATTGCAAGTTCTTCCTTGAAGAACAGTAACAAATCATAAAGGTTTCTTGCAAATGTCAAATAAGATAATAGGGGTGCAAAGTGATTTGTAAACTATACATTTACAACATTGAGTTGTAAACTGTAGT